ATGACCAACAATGCCACCTAGAATAACTCCAGGAAAATGTAATGTAATAAGGACACAGGTAAGTTCTACTGGAAATGAGGAGACGAGATTCAGAAAGTTATACAAAATTTATTAAACTTCAAAATATCTTTAATTTCCAATAATCTGAAATTGAATGGTTAAAACAGTGAATGCATTTGACAAGATCTATTATAATAAAATGTCTAAATTTCAAAGGAAACTGAGGCTTACCGATGGGGGAAGTAGTGAGGGAAGGGGCAACATCCAGTGCAGAAAAAAGGGACCACCCTGGACACTACATAAACACGGCAAACAAAGAAAGAAAAAGGTGCTCCAACAAAACACACAAGACAAGACACCGCCACCAGGGGTCACCACCGCCACCACAGAAGCCTCAGTCCCTAAAAGAAAGACAAAAAAACCCCGAAACAATACAAGTAAAACAGAGATACAATAGCCCTACAATGTTGCACTTTATCTCCAAGGAAAGTGCAGATTAGTATTTTAAAACAATTTATAAGTAGGCAAAACAGCAGCGAGTGTCACTCCAGGTGCAATGCTGATGAGTCAGAAGGCTAAAAAGAATAGAGCAAATTATTAATACAACTGCTAACAAAAACATAACTTGCAGCAGCTGCTTACCTGTGACCTGATAAATGACTGCACTGCCAAATAATCAGATTCCCAATTCCACCTAGATGCAGTGCAACTGTAAGAAAACGCTATGTGAAGGTTTTGTTTACATGGGGTAGACGTTACTTAGCCACGCTAAGCCCTTACCTTCCTGTCAGCAAATGAATAAACGGACAGATCGGTCCAAATATTGGAGGTGCAGCAAAGGAGGCTAAGCAGATAAACCAATTAGTATTAATAGCCATTATTAAAGCCGACAAACAATAAAACAGCCACGCTTACCCAGAACAGTGCAAACAAAGGAAGCAGATTCGGTTGACGTCACGACGCAAGCAGCCTCATGACAGGTGAAGGCTTGCTTATATGCAGCAGCTGAAATTGGCCTTAAAGTGGCAGCGCACCATTTATGCTGCTACATAA